CGCCGCTCCCGGCGGTCACCAGAGGGAGCCCGATGCCCGGGAACGGCGCATCCTTCGGGCAGGGATGGACCTGCGGGTACAGGGGAGCGGCACGGGTGACCTTCTGCAGCCTCTCCTGGCTCCTTTCTAATCAGCCATCATCAGACAAAATTGGAGCTCCCACTGGCCTGGTGTAACTGTGCATAAGGATTTAGGTTATGTCCAGAAACCGAGGATGTGTTGGCAGGGCAGCTCCCAGGCAGCTGATGGCTTTATTGCAGGTGACTCCCCAAAAATCACCCTCCCAAAGAAAGGCACGAAATCATTTGGGAAGAAGGCCAGGAGTGTCAGAAAGGCCAGCCCTTGTCACAAAACCAACATTTCTGTTCACTCCAAATTAATTGAGGGATTTTAGCTTAGAAAGGGAAGCACTGTATTACACAGCACTAGCACTTTTCCACATCCCTGGGAAACCCTTATTCCACAAAATGGGTACAGAGTCCAACCCTGCTACAATCACTGAAGCTGTCTGGAGCCATCCTCAGGTTGGGCAGGGCACCCTTCAGCCCCAGCACAAACCCAGTTTTGACCTTATCCTTCAACTGCTGATTGAGGGTCTACCAAAGCCCTGCTTCCTGAAGAGTCCTGAGGAGCTGACCTTCCCTCACTGCCCCACAGGTGCCAAAGGCAAATACATGCCTTGAAGCACTATCTCATTACTGGAGCTTTAAAACAAGCATCTCTTCCTGTGATATCTGCCTTTTTATAGGGGTAAATCTTATGCCTCCCCTGTTCTTCCTTTATGTATTGGGGTAACTCTTATCTACCACATTTTATAAGTCTTTACCACCATTTGTAGAGCAGCTTTATAAGACACCTACACCAGACACAATTACTGCAGCTGCTCCTATGAGAAGCTCCTAAACTACGCTGCTTATTTCAGGAGAAAAAAACAAACAACCGATCCACCCACAAAAGCAAGCACCAACCCCCCAACAACTCCCAAAAGATAACCAAATACAAACACAAACACCAACACTCTCACACCACCTCACCTCCTTTTTTGGTCTGTAGTCTGTGAAAAGAGACGAATACTTTCCCTGGGCTCCTGTTTAAGTCCTTCAGCTGTGATGGGGATGGAGGGAACTGCTGACTGACTCCCAATACCTGGGGGCCCTTTCACCCCAGAGCAGGCTCAGCTGCTGTCTAATCTTTAAAGGACCCAATACACGCTGATATCCTCCCTGTAATTGTCACCATCTATATCTTTTCAGTCCCCTGCAATACTCCTACAGCTCTCCCACCTGCTCCCTGAACAATCATTTTCCCTGTCCCCATAGCTCAGCCTCCTCTCCCCTATTCAGTTTTGGGCCCTGTCTCAGGATAAAAAAGGCATTGGAAAACTGGAGTAAGTTAAGTGAAAAGCCACCAAGGGAGTGGGGGGCTGGAGCACTTGCTCAGTGAGAGGAGGTGGTCTCGTTCAGCCTGGTGAGAAGAAGACTTCAGGGGGACAGAACAGCATCCTGCTGGTTAACAACCAGCTTACTCCTCATGGCAGTACATGGTTTGGAAATGAAAGAGTTGAAAGAAAAGAGGTTGAAATTGGGTAGAAGGAAAAAATTCTTTACCATAGTGACAGTCAAAGCCTGGGACAGGCAGCCTAGGGAGGTTGTACATCCACCCTTGGGGGGTTTTCAATGTTAGGCTGGATAAAGCCCTGAGCAACCTGATAAGACCTCAGCACTGACCCTACCATGAGCAGCAGGTTGGACCAAAGTCCCTTCCAGCCTGATTCAGCTTGTCTTCCTGCTTGTCTTAAGGAAACGAGGGTGAACTGGAATGATAACCAAGTCCAGATCTTCCTCCCCAGCCGGGTTGTGGGAACCCTGCCATCAGCACCACCACCCTGGGATCATCCCATGGCAGCTTGAAAAGCCTTGTCAAACACTGTGAATGTCAAGGGAAAAAAGTAGGACAAAGGATTGAACTGAGTTGTGACAGTGACACGTGTCTGTGCTGGGGGAGGAGGAGGAAGAAGTTGAGCACACAAGTTAAATGGGCCAAGAGGCTGGACACAGCAATGTATCAGCTGCATCACCAGCAGAGTGAAGCTGTGAGGTGTAAATACATCCTTCCCCTGCCATGTGCACGGCCTGGTCACAGGAGGGTTCTCAGATGTGAGCAATGGCTTCCTTGCAGTAAGAGCAACCAGGCACAGATTTAATTCTTACTGTATTTTAACTGCTGAGGGGGTTGAGTGAGATGTGGGGAGCACCAGGCCCTCATTCTGCTGCAAGGGGCAGGTCTTGGCAGCGACCCAGCTGCTGGGACAGCTTCCACCCCAGCCTCTGCCCCTTCTTCCCCAGGGAGAGAAAAAGCTGTGAAGATGCTCATGTTATCTAATAGAAAAGGGATCTCAAATGTACCATGACTCACTCACCTTTCAAAGCTGTCAAAAAAAAAAAAAAAAAAAAGCACAAAAACAACCCAAGCCCAACACAACTTAGAAGGTAGGGGAAGGAAATCAAGGTAAAAATAGTGGCTGAAGGTTTGATTTCTAGTTTGGTGTGTGTCAGGAAAGGCAGTCAGACACAGGCTGGACAGCCTGTGGCCACTGCTGCATTCCTGCTCTGTCCCAGGGATCCATCCATCAGCTCCACTGGGAAGGTGATCCCAGCACTTTGAAACCAAAAGTGAATGGAATCCAGCACCACCAAAGCATTCATGCCACCTTGGCTAACCTGAGCCACGGACCCACTCTGCTGGAAGGACAGACTGCGACAGAAATGGTTCTTTTGCTGTAGTGCTGCCTCTCTTGGCCTCTCCCAGGGACACATTTCTCCAAGTGAGGGAAATAATTTCCCCCAAGCAGATGAGTCCCACCCTCCGCCTCCCCAGCACAGGTGGAGGGCATGGTGGTTGGGTCTTTGAGGTACAGAGGTGGTTTTAGTTGCTATTTGCTCTGAAAAAGCAATATACAGGATGGTTACTAAACAGTGAGCTCTGAATCTCAGCATCAAGATCAAAAATTAGGATTAGATACAGGAATATGCTGTGAGATATTTGGATTCGCTGAGGGTCATCTCAGGTATAAAGACATCCCATAACCCCTCTCTCATTTTCTGTCTTAAAAATGGTGTCTTTTTGCTCCTGTACTCTAAATATGGTGCTGGTCCAGAGCTACACAATGTAATAGAATCACCACAGGATAACTCAGGTAGGAGAGGACATGTGGAGGTCATCCTGCTCCAAGAAGGAAGAATGATGAGGAAGACCTTCCCACTTTCCCAGTGTGTCCTTTGTGACCACTTGAGCATCTTACCTCAATCTTGCCCATGTTCTGAGCGTCCTGCTGTTGAGTTTATTAATGTAACTTCCAAATTTAAAATCAAACAAGTGCCCAGGCTGTACAACTGGGCCACAGAGAGGGTTGGTCTGCTTCAAAGAAGAGGTGGCAGATTTTGCAAGAATACAGTAGGCTGGGATGGGGAAAATGTCAGGATCAAAGAGAGCTGGTCCAAAAGAAGCTCCAAACCAGCCAACTTGGAGCTTTGCCTGTGCAGTTCAACCACTGGCTGGCTGCCTGTGAAGTTACCAAATGACAAAGGATTTGCCAGAATTGGGTTATGTGGATTATCAGAGGAGAAGCTGGCATTAGGTGTGCTGAGCACATTGCTGAGGCCTCTCTTTTTAGGCATTGTGCCCCAATTGAGTTCAAAGCGGGGATTGTGGCATGAGAGGCAAACACTCAAGCTCTGTCCAAACAAGGTCCAGAGGTTTAGGTGCTCAGCATTTAGGTGCTTGCAAAAGATGTTGACCCCTGAGGCTCATGATAAAATCTCAAGCTCCCTTTGAAAATTAAGTGTTTAACATGAAGGAGCTGGTGTCCCATTGATCTGCTGCCAATGTTTTAACAAGAGGATGCCACAAGTATTTCCCTGTGAGAATTTTTCACAGTGAACGGGGAGAGAATTATGTTTCTTATGTTTGCACAAAGAAGGATTTTCCAGCCAGCAGGAAGAAGAGAGAGGGCAGCAGTGTGAAAAGTAAAGAAAGGACTAAGTCTATGTGCATTAAAAATGTTAAATAAATGCAAACATTTGTGCCTAGAAAATCAAGGTCTATGTATGATTCAGGGAGAATTTATCCTAGAGGAGGGAGGAGGAAGCCCACAGCTCTTTTCCTTCAGGGAATATTTTTTTTTTAAATTATTAACACTTTATACAATCTGGTGCTCTTCTAAATATAATTTTATTAGCATGAGAAGCCACTTGGCAGTAGGAAACTAATGCTAGTGAGTTCCCAGTTTTCAAGACAAAGTGTTCTCTAAGGAAGAGGAAAAAAGACTGATTTGGGAAGAAGAGCCTTGCAGCTTCTGCCTAAAACCAGCCTCCACCTGCCATTATCTTGGTGCAGGCTTAAATGGAGCAATATTCCCTACCCTCAAGCTTGCTTGTCTCTGCTTTCCAAAGGATGAGGCATATGGAGTCACACTGTTCACCAGCTCTCCCGTCACCCTCCCACAATAACCTCTGGGAGAGGAAGGAACATGTCTAGGGAGGCTGGGAAGGGAATCGGGGCGCCCGCTCTCACCCACCTCCTGCGATGGGGAGAGTCGGGCAGGAGCCCTTGAGCAGGGGCTGCTCGGCTGCCCGGCAAGCTTGTGACAATTTTTCAGGCGGGACGGGGCAGAAGAGCTGTGGCTGCTGGGGACGGGAGGACACAGCTCACGGGAGCCGTGGGAATCGCCGCTCCGGCACAGGGAGCGCCTTTCTTCCCGGGAGGAGGGTGATGCAATAGTGCGGGGTAGCAAAGCCGTACATTAGGCTCCAGTACGGCTGGATCAAAGCGTTTTTCTGGGTATTGTGGAAAAAAGAGTCCAGCCAAGGAATCGTGCTGAGGTTTATTTTATTGAGCAGAGACAGCAGAGGCGAGAGCAGGCTGCTCCTGTGTCCAGGCACAGCTGTGTGCAGCCACTGCCAACAGGGGCTCAGCTCTTGCTGCTCGGTGACAATGAGGACTCAGCATTTCCCCAGGTGCTTCAATCTTATTTTCCCTCCACTTCTCCTGTAAAAAGAGCGAGATAGACTTAGGGCAAGCACCAAATAACACTCAGTAGTGTGGGACAAAGAGCTCATCCATCCCAACAGGCCTGACTTGTGCCAGCTTAACCTGGTGCCTTGCGGGGAATATCAAGCCATTTTCCCCTCTCCTTTTTCCATAATTTTCCCTAGGATAAGACAGTCTTAAATGCACACTAAGTGTAAGGATTGTTAAGGAAAAAATTATATTTTGGAAGCACATTCCATCCAGGGGGGCTAGCTCCTATTGCATCTCCTTTAAAAGGTGACAGAGCTCAGGAAAAGGAGAAACATCATGTTCTTCCTCTGAGATCTTGTGTCTTGTTCCACAAAGTTCATTCAGACTTTTCAGGAATAGCTTGGCATGGCTCAGCTCCCACATTCCTCCAGGCATTTCTCAGTACCCAGGAGTGTGGGCAGTGAGAGCTGCAGCCTGTGGCATATAGTGGGAATTGTGCATCAATTTAGTGCGTGTGGAAGGTACAGGCAGGATGCAATTGCCTCCCAGGCCCTGTGCTGCCTCTCAGCATGGCAACCAGCAGCCTGCAATGCCTAGAAATGAATTAAAATTAACTTGCCCCACGGAGGAAATATTCCACTTGGCACGATACAGGACCTGGTCCATAAAACAGGAGCAGCCTGGATGCAGGGCCTCCCCTCCATGAAGAACATCATTAGATACATGGCAATGAAGCCAACCCTCTCTTATTTCCATTCCCTCTGTGTCACTTACAGCACTGCCTTGCAGAAGGCACACTTGTTCCCGTAGGTGACGCCATCAGTGCCGCAGTGAGGGTTGGACTCCCTCGTGCAGTACACGCTCCTGTTTACAAACTCTTTACAAATCTGCAGAAGAAATTGAAAAAAACAAACCTTTCAGGACTCCCATACTCTTTGTTTCACTTTCCAAATTGAACACAAGGTTACTAAAGTAATGCTTTTTCGGACAAGTGATGACACAGACAGAAAAAGCCCTCCCAGAAACGAGCAGAAGCAGCGTTTCAGGGGAATTTTTGCCCCATGTTTGTGGAGGAAAACTGTAGTCGCCTTGGAGAGCTCTTGATCTCCCAGTGACAGGAGTGGATTAGCCTAGGCATGCAGGAGAAGAGTCAGCACTGATGCTCTGTCAGGCATTTGGAGTCAAGTTACCTCCCTGCTGCACGGCTTCCTGCATCTTGCGAAACTCTGCACTCAGCTTGGTGTTTGCTGAGCCTCTGCCTTCCCAGAGGAAGGAGGAGAAAAACATAGTCTATGGCGAATTAAAAATGGTGCCCAGGAAGTGTACAGGTGTCCTGTGTCTGTACAAGTCACAGTGATGGACTTAATTTTGGGGAATAGAACACCCAAGAGTCCATTTGTTTCATGAGAAGATTGGACAGAGGAGCCAAGTCAAAAGTGGTGCAGTGTGTAAACGTTGCCCCTGTTCAAGCAGGAGCAGATGCAGCTGTGGGAAACATTTACTAAACCAACCATTTTTTCCCTAGTCTACCTCCTAACATGGCCACACATAGGATCCTCTGTGTAGTGATGAACTCCCCAGTGTTGGGAATTCTTGGAAGGGCCCACCTACTCTCAGTAGACTTTAAAAACTCTTTAGCAAGAACCAAGATTTTGGTTAAAAAAAAAATTCCTCTAAAGTGGAATGACATGACTGGATGCGGCACTTAGAGCTATGGTCTAGCTGACAAGGTGTGATTGGTTAAAGGTTGGACTCGATGATCTTGGAGGCCTTTTCCAACCTTAATGATACCATAATTCTATGAAGTGCAGATTCAGCAAGTAGAAACAGCAACACTAACCTCTTCAATGTCTTGACCTGCTACATCTGGAACTAAAAACAAACAAAAAAAAAAATTAAAAAAAAAAATAAAAACCAAACAGAGATTTTATGCATCAACATTACTTTCTGATAGAGTCTGATCTAAAGTCATAAACCCTTTATGCAAATCACAGTGAAACATACTCCAAGTTTTTCTTACTCCATCATCCTGCGCAGCAGAAGAGGGGGCAGGAAATACATTACCTTAATTGCTTTTTAGTATTTTTGTATTTTGAAAAATGTTACTAAAATACCATGAAATCAGTCGTTCAGCTGCTAACTACACCTCAGACACATAACCCAGTCTCCTGGAAGGCAGCCACTCCCAGGGAAGCAAGCTGCCATATCGAATCTGGAGCTGTGCTCCCAGAGATTTTAAAGCTATATGAGCTTTTAAGGCTTTTAGGCTCCTGTATCTCTGAACAGTGCAAATGGTCAGTACTGTTAACAGGAGCTTGCCATGGAGAAGGAGACCTTACAGCCCAGAGACCCTCCCAGAACAGGCTCATCCTGGGTGAGATACAGAGAGACGTCATGGGGTGATGCAGAGCAGAACAGGCAGTGTCAGTCAGTACGAGCACAAAAATACTCTCTGTAACCACAGGCTCTGAGCTTGGAGCTGATCAGTCCATCCTCTTTACATTTCTTCCCAGCAAAGCCTGCAGTCAGGTGTGTAGGTTGAGTCAGAGCTGTGAAATGGGGCAACCCTGCCATGTTTCTAAGGGGGAGCCTGACACTCGAGGGTGGCTTGAATGCAGATTCACAGAATCTGGGTCACAGCACTGTGGGACAAATTCCCAGCATCTCACAGAGCAGCAGAGGTTCGGATTTGAGGCTGTATTGCTGGGTCAGTCGGGTCACTGTGATGCTGCTCGGGTGGCTCTGGGCAGGAGGGAGCTTGGGACAGGACATGGGAGGGCCTTGTACCACACTCCACCCTCCCCAATGGAAATCCCACTCAGCCCTCAGCCAGCTCAAACATCATCCATCAACCTCCCCTACTATTTTTGCCCTTTGGTGTTTTATCCCTGGTGCTGGCACATTTACCCTGTCCTCAGGTTTGGCCAGGCTGCCTTAATGGTAAAGGCATTGGTGTGGCTATCTGCATATTATTTACAAAACAGCTCATTAGATAGGTCTTATAAATATTACATGCAGCTACAGAAGACTTCGTGATGATGCCTCTTGACATCTGTTTATTTTCCAGGAGATCACAGAGTTTGCTGCTATTCTACCTGGCCTTGGAAGGAAGCTTAAGCCTTCTGACAAAACCCTGTCCCAATTAAGACTCAATTAGGGACAGATGAATATTTCATAATGAATAATGTGTACAAAGCAATTCACCTCTTTTCTCCATGCACAGCTTGTCATTTTCTCAAGTGAATTCTTTATTCAAATTATTTGCAGAAAAACAAGTATAAATAATTCTTGTTCCACACATTCTTCAATATCTGTTGCCACAAACCTTGCAGACCTGGGTCAGCTGGACTCAAGCAAGTGATAACACTGACATGGTCTATATGTTCAAAAATCATCACTCAGCTTCCTCACATCATCAGAGAGATGTGTAAATCTCCAGATAAATAGTTGCTGAATCCTTTTAATTTGCCCTCTTTGTTCTGACTCCTTGAGGACATTTGAATTTAATTTTCAAGCTTTTCTCTGCAACATCAATGAATGCTGAAACTTTCATCTAATTACGTTTCCACATCTCCAAGGAAAACACCAAGTACCAAGATGCTTAGAATCGAAACAAGAGCAGATGACCCTGAGGTGAGTGAGTTCTTCTCTAACTGGTTCAGCAAAACTCTCCAGTGAACATTCGTACCAAAAACTCATAATTACACTCTGCTTTGGTACATTTGCTAAAGAGATGCTCAGAATTTGCTTGTTCTGTCTCCCAGAGACACCTCCGCTGCGTTATTCACTGTGGAGGCACACAAGGAGTGGAAATATGTCATATGAGTGAGCAAGTTCCGCAGATATTTTCTACTTGCTCAGCTTTATCTTCAAGCCTGTCAGCCAGTGATCAAGGCTCTCCGAAGTTTCTTGTCAGGAGAGGTTTTGGGTGTTTTTTCTTTCCTAGGCTAGGGAAAAGATCACTTACCAGAGAAGAAAGAGAGCAGCAGCAGGCTGAGAAGCACTAAGGCACCTGTTGCCTTCATGCTGCAGGTAGCTCTTTAGTCCAAGCCCAGTGACCAGAGCAGGAGGTGTCGTCGCAGCCCCGGAGCCCACAGTGTGCACACAGACCTGCCCTTCTGTGTATTTATGTGCCTGTCCATAGCTGTCCTCATTCCCCACCTTAATTGTGAGAACTTCTCCACTTGGTTTCTAAAGCCATTATTGGTCCTGGCCGGTTTATTGTGCTTTAAGGAATGCTGCCCTGTCCACATCAAACCTAGAAAGGGATAATTATATGAGTGATAGGCAGGTTCATAATATAATTATTTTTTTTCCAAATAGTCACAGGATTCTCACAAGGGTGAATTTTCAAAGCAGTGATTCATCAGGGAAGCTGGTAATTTTCATTCTCTGGGCCCTTGCTGAATGCCAGTTCCGAGCCTTTGAGTGCGGCGTGATGACACTCACTAGACGTTACGAAATAAATCACAGCATGAGAATGTGTTGTCTGTGAAACCAATTATACGTTGTTCCCCGGTTATTTTTGAGGATGGTTCTAAATTTGTTGAGTTGGGGTGGAGAAGCACTCAGATGTGACATGCTCTCATCGCTGCGTGCACAGTCCCAGATAGGATGGCTGACTCTCCTCCCTGAACTATTTAAACTCTAGCTGTCAATGTTTTCCACTTTTTCACATTCCCAAACATATGTTAGGGCTCTGCTCCCACAGCAAGTGTCAATGAAGGGAATTTGATAGGGAATAGGGAAATCTGAGCTCTATTTCCAGCTGAGGCTGTGCAAGGATTTGTATTCAGCTGCACCATTTGCCAAACACCTCTTCAGATAAGAATAAGCTTAAATGTTAGTATGCTTTCCCAAGGAGACAAAGCTTAGTACAGCAATGTGTATAGATATATCTCTTTATTGGTTCCCCCAGTAAATTTTTAATCCACTAGTGCCAACTAAATTTTACACGGGAGTGAATAATAAAGACATTTTCATACATTTTTTAGCAACAGAGGAAAGATGCTATTGACATCCCAAGCTAGCAAGGGAGGGAGTTTCTGTGAGAAAGCAATGTTATGGATGCCCTGCATCTGGGGATGCATTACAGTTCTCAGCTTGCTAGACATCTGAAAATCCACACAACAGAGAAACCGTGACTGACAGGTGAATCCTCAGATATCAATTAAGTGTGAGCTCACGACACAGCCTCTCATATAATTTAGTTATCAAGTCCGTCAGCCACAGCGCCGTTCAAAACCACGCTCAGTTCTGCCACTCGCAGCACTACCTGTTTGCCTTTTCTAGTTTCATACGTCACTGTTCATGACTACAGCCTTAATGCCTCAGTCCCTTATCTGCCCAAACATTTCAGTTGCTGCAGCACAACTCACTGGCTAAAGCCTCAGCAAATGCACTGCAGGGACCAACCCCTTCTGGGCTGAGGAGGGGAAAAGACTAAATTACCAAGCAGGTGATTATTGTTATTACCCATTTCCACTTCTTTATAACATCTGAACAGTCCAGTTGCTGGTGTAGGTGAGGGAATTCTGTCCCTCTGACAATCTGGGATAGAAGAAGGGCACCTGGACCTTGTTTTGCATCCTAAGGGTTAGTTGGGCAAAGTCTTGCTGGTGTCAAGCTGAGTACTAACCTGTGCTGGGCCAGTCTTTAAACTTAAATACTACAAACCTTTCCATATTCTAGAGAGTCCTTGCTTATAGGCTCATGAGGCATCTGGAATACAATCACATATTCACCATTTGCCCTCCCTTTTGATGCAGGTGAGCTGCTCTTTGGGCTTTTCCAAAGCCTTCTGAGCTCCTAAGAAAGTATCTGCAATCCTCAGGCAGAAACTACCACCACAGAGGAGCTTCACTGTAGGACCTTGCCGTTGAAAACAATTTCCTTCTACAGCCAAAACTCCACTAGTCTGTGGCCACTCTATAAACCTTCTTGTCTAACAAGAAATCATAGCCAAGCTCTGTCCTGTGTTGACAGGTCTCTGTTCACATCCACCAGGTATTGTTCCTTAACTATTCTTCAGACACACAAGCAGGTGAACAGTGAGGACTCATATGACTCTTTAGTCTGTCTTTTATTAAGAGCAGTCATAAAGCCGCAGTGTGATTTATACTGCCTGTACTAATACAAAAACACCTGAAAATAAGAAGTTTCATTACTCTTCCTAGAAGCACTGCTCTGGGCTGGTTCTAGGGGAAGAACGAGCCTCTTATCTTCTCTATCTACAAAAATCCTTGTCAAGAAATTATCTTCTTCAGGAAGCAAGACACAAAGAAAAGGCTTGGAAGTCACAGATTTTGTCCTAAATATCAACCTTAGCAAGAGCTATTCTTTTACATAACAAGAGAATGGGAGGTGGAGAAAGGATGAGGAAGGGAATGTGTGAGCCATGGCACTTGGGAATTTTTGCCTGTGCTGTTTGCATATTAACTCCTTGACTCACCCAAGAACATGGCACATCATCGTGAACATTCATATGTATCACTGCTCCTCCAGTGCATTCTTTAGGCTCCCACAAAGATGTTATCTCCATACCTTTTTTCCCAAGATAGAAAACATGTTGGAGCTACTAACACATCTGCTGGCCCTTTTTTCCTGGAGTTAGAAAATCCAAGACCTTTTCCCGAAGGGTCCCCTGCCTTATCTCTGCCTCAAATACCCCCAGTACAGCTTTTCAGTTTTCTTCTTCAAGAAGCTGAAAGCCTGATCCCAGTCTAATTTCTCCTCAGGTTCTCATTAGGCTCATTACAGCCTTGCGTAGCTTGCTGCAATTTTCTGCTGATGAGCACAGTCTCGGTGGACACACCCTTCAAGGAAGCAGCAGTTCCTAATTTTCTTCCCTCCCTTCCTCCCTTTGACATAATCCTCCTTTTTATAATGCACCCCCAGACCCGCCCCTTGCCCAGGTAAGACCAGGCAGAGCTGACTATGGCCACCTTTCACACTTTCTCAGGGCCATCCCCCTATGTCAAGGCCCCTAAAAGGACCAGTTCCTCCCAGTCCCAGAACTGTAACAAGGACAAATCCATTTGCACTCTAAAAGACATCAAAATTAAGAAAGTGGCACTACTTTGTAGCCTGGTTTCTCTTCTGATGGTTTGCTACAGAGTGACATTCTCTCGTGAGGGCTTGGGTGAGTGTGTGATGTGCATTAAGTTTTGCTCTTTATTGTGGTTTATTCCACAACTTCTCCTGCCTGACAGACATGTATCCAAAAGCCTGAACACCATGAAAATAGAACCAAAACCAAACATTCCATGGCAAAGATTGTGGCTGCATTTAATTTATTGATCGATCAAAGCAGAGACCAATGCATAACAATCGAGGGAGCAAGGAAAGAGTGTGTTTGATTTCAGAATTTGCAAGGGAGAAATCATGATGAAGGGTCCAGCTCCAGCACTTAGCACTCGCCCTGGTGGCGGAAGAGCAGATTTCCACGGCCGCGGCTGAAGAGAAAAGAGAGACCAAAGTTAGAAACATGGATCTCATTTTCGAGGCCTAACTTCACCCAAATAAACCAAATGCCTTTGTGCTCTCCAGCTTATTAAGTACTTCACTCAGTGTTTCATCTCTTCTCTGATTCCCCGGGTTACACACGGAGAGATCTGGGACAAACCCCATAATTTTGGACACCTCCTGCCGTCACAGCTTCAATTACCCTGACCGGGAGGGACTCAGCAATGCTATGAGCCCGCAAGTGGGAATCTGATTTTAATTGCAAGGGAAGAAGAAGACTCACTCAGGCTTAAGATCTGCAGTGCCTAGGGTTGACACAGGAGTGAACATTGGGAGAGGAACATGGGGCAGGGGTGGATTTACCAAGGAGCTAACAGGAGCTCTGGGGCTTCCACACCAGCTACCACCAGTGTGTGTGGGCTCCAGCTACTCTGTTTTCATGGCCACATGGTGAGCTCTGTACTTACTTAACTGCGCTGCAGAACTGGCACTTGTTTGCATAAGTTCTGCCATCGGAACCGCAAATGGGGTTGTACTCGGAGGTGCAAATGTTGATGCCCTTCTGCTGGGTGCAGTCAATGTCCTGTGGCTAATAATGGAGAAAAAAACAGGTTTTAAAGCTTTTGTTCCCTGTATCTTCCTACATAAGTGCTTTATGTTTATTTAATATTCATGATATAGCAAAGCATAAAAGCACTTTTCAGGAGCAGGGCTCTGTTGTTCCAGCAATTCTGCAAACTCAGAGGCAGAGAATGTTCTTGCCTGGAAATGCCTGAAGTAGGGAGATGTCGGAGGCAAAAATATCTAATAAATACTATTATAAGTAGTGAAATGACCATGCTGATATTTCCAGGCTGGCTCTCCCACTGCCTACCCTGGTTCAGCAGGCAAGCAGGGACAAGTGAACAGAAAGGAGATGGTCACAAACCCCACTGCAGCAAGTACTCCAACGTGGGAAATCACCACTACTAATAAAGGCTGGTAGTACAGGACCCTCCTGCTCTCCCACAGACAGGATGACATGACACAGCATCTCTTGCTCATCCAGTTTCCCAGTAAATGAAGGTCTCAGCACCCACTGCCTGTTGTGTTCCAAGGTCAGAGAGGGGAGGACATATCTGAACTGTGGATTTGGTTCAATACCTGTTGACCCCAACATCCTTTAACTCCTGTCCTCAAATCCTATTTCCAGACCAAATGCACCAGGACAGTGCAGGCATTTCTGTTATTTAGTTATGAATCAGTGAATTTGTGTTGCAAAAGGTGACAGCAGCAAAGAGTGCAGATTTCTGAGCTTTACCTGCTGGTAGCACTGTCCATAACTCTGCAGATTCACTTCCAGTCCGCTCCTTTGGAAAGGAAGAGTGTTGAGAATGAATGAGCACAGTGCAGCTGCTTCATGAGTCAAACTACCTTGTTATGCTCCAAATACCAAGAGGAGCAGCTACTGATCCAGAAAGCCATCCCATGACCCAGGCCCTTCACTTACGCCACAGCTCTACAGAAGAGGCACTTGTTTCTGTAGGTAACACCATTGGTGCCACAGATGGGAGAGTACTCC